TGTCCTTATCTATTTGGCATTACGTTAAAATCCCGTAATTTGCCATTCCTCGTACTTGTTTTCTTTGTGCCTTGGTCCCCATAGTCCTTTTGCACATGCACAACCTTTATTATAGGTTTCTGTTGTCACATAATTTCCAAAAACCTAACATCTTTCCAGTTACGGGATTCAGGTTTACATTAGTGATTGGAGTATAGGTACGATCTTCAGATACTTAGATTTTGGTGATTTTTTTAAATTACACTAGAAGATGTCAGCTGTCTCCGCTAATTTTAAGTTAACAGTGCTCAGTCATTCATGGAAACATATACAAGGCATTTTTTGTTCTTCAAAGGTTTTTGGGAAATAACCTGGCCTTCTTACACAAAATCTTGCCTAGAAGAAAAGGCCATACTTTCACTGTCTTACAAAAACCATTCATACAAGACAGTCACAATTTGAAATGGGGAATTTCCACCATATTGTGAAGTATGTAGTAGTCCATTAGCACTTGGTGGCAGATGTGCTATCCCTTATGGCTCCTTTAAGTTCGAGGCATGGAATGTTTTTTTTTTCCAGCATGGCAATGTAGATCTCATTTAGCATTTGTCATAAGACTTTTCTGAAAAAATGTTTTCCCCTCCTTCCTAACTATCCATGTTTTGCCCTCATTTACCATACAAACTCATTAAAACTACCAACATCTTGCTACTTTGTTTCATATATGCAGCACTTGCCACATCCTTTCTCAGGTTCACTCTATCACACTCATTTTCCAAATGTATAATGCCCGGACATAGTGCCTTTACAATACAATAACGCTCTCTTGTGTTGCTGCAGTGGAAAATTTAATCCACTCATCCCCCTTTCCTTTCTCAATGCACTCTTTGTTATTAAGAATATTATATTTTATTGCTGTGCTAGTATCAAATACAGTTAGTTCTGTTTTACACGGTATAATGTACTTGCTCGGCACAGTATAGTGGAGTGATTTGTATATTTTTGTTTGTAAACATAGGAGGAATATCCATCCAAGGCTGAGAGTGGACCCAAAAGAAGAAAATCCCCAAAAAGAAAATACTTTCATCATCATTCAACACTTTCACCTCACTCGCACATAATCACTGTTTTTGCAGAGGTGTCAGAACACAAACAGTTTATATGTATAAAGTGTCTTTTTAATTCAATAATGATTTCTGCACTGGTAGTGTTTCCATATAAATTGTATGGGCTCTTTCTGGATGGTACAGTACAATATTAAATTTTCAATGTATTTCACTACTCTGCATCACTGTGAACAGTAGTTGTATGTGAATTATAACAGCTAAAAGAAATATATTGTTACTTGGATATGAAACTTAATTGGCAAGCCACTGTTATTGGTAATTTGAGAAGCATATTGTAAATAGTGCAGGTTAAAAAGATATGATAAATAGAAAAGATAGGTGGAAAAAATGTCTTCTCAAAATGAGGTGGCAAGGTACTGTAGTTTTAGAACCAATGAAAACTATTTTTTTTTTTAAGGTATGGATTTACTGTGATGGCCAACATAACAGTTTACCTTGTGACTTGGCTCGTATTGGGAATAGATGCTACCAGTGCTGAGACTGGTCTTGGTCCTGAAGATGGCATCAAGTTCAGGGTAGGTTAACCCTTTGTTTGAAGTACTGTGGTGCTATGCTTTTACTTTTGGATGTGTTTGACTGGAGATGAAAATAAATCATTGACTGAGTTCATTTTTATGTAGACAGACTAGTTGTGGTGCAAATTTTTAACTACTAATGCATTATAGTGAAGTACCATAACTCCAGACTTTCTGAACTTTGGTCACTCCTGAAATCCATATGGTCTTATTGATGACATTTTGCCTATACGTTTCTGTGGGCCTTATCATTTCACAAACAAATCCGGTAAGGATGGATGAGCAAATGAGTACTGATGAGAGGAGGAACAGGTGGGGTGTGCATCAGATCACAGTGATTCCCAAACATATTAGAAGTTTTCAGATGAGGTTCAAGAAAATTGTAGAAACTGTTGTCCTATTTGAAGTTGTTGGAGATCAGATGAGTGCAGATTAAAGACATCATATTCTTTGGGTGTCATCCTTGGCAATAAATAGTGCACTACTAATTGACAAGGAGAATGACATCCAGATTAGATGCCCTTGAATCTGCACTCATCAGTATCTCCAACAACTTAAAAACAATGGTTTCAACCATTTAGTAGAAATTTTTTTAGGACATTTTAGAATTAACATGACTTGATCTTCACTTCACTGGTACTTATTGTTCATCCCAGGTTACCAGATTTTTTTGTTTGACTTTATAAAACACTGAATTGGCAAAATGTCATCGATAAAGGTTCCATATAACTGCACTTACATCTCTTTTTCATCGTGTTGGTATTTCATACCTATGTTCTTATGTTTTTTACATGTGTTAACCCCTTAACTGTCCAAACGTAGATCTATGTTCTTACCGCTAGCACTCCAAACGTAGATCTACATTTTATTTTTCCTGCCTCCAAATTTGGCACGATTGGCCTGAGATGCATGGTCAGCATAGAATGGGTCTTAACCCTCTGTGTAAGCAGTATTAAAAAATCTGGGACCACTTAGTACCTTGTGGGAGCACCAGTTCAACTGAGCCAGTACCTTGTGGGAGCACCAGTTCAACTGAGCGCCAGTTAGAGCAAACACCAAGGATTCACTGATGTCATGTCGTATTAACACTCCCCTTTTAAGAGGGAAGTGATGTTGACCCCAAGTTTAGTGGCTTTGAAGTGGATGTGGCCACAAGTGGTCACGGAAATATAAAAAATCTTGATAATAGCCTATGTGCAATATTTGTGCAACACCCTCTCAATTTTGGTAGCACTGGTAGTGTCATCCTGCCAGAATGTCTTATAAACCTATGCCCTCAGTAAAAAGAAAATTCTGGAATGTGTAATACATGTTCAGCAGGCTGGCTGATTGGCTGTATCTATCTGTGTCTATCTCTTTCTCTCTATCTCTGTCTCTATCACACAGGAACACATACATAAATACAATTATGCATGGTGTAAATTACCAAGGTTAACCCCAAAATCCAGTGGACCCTCGGTTATCGGCCGTAATCTGCTCCAGAAGCTCGGCCTAAGACCGAAATGGCCAAAAACCGAAATAATACTGTATTTCCCATAAGAATTAATGGAAATACAATTAATCCGTTCTAGACAAAAATGTACACAAAAAATAATTTTTTAACAATTATTTAAGTATTACATACCTTTATTGAAGGCTAATGCTGGCTTCTGGAAGATAGGGAGGAGGAAAGAGGGAGGAGTTAGAAGGGAAATCCCCCTCCATAAAGACTTTAGGTAGCAAAGCCTTCTCTGGGGTTACTTCCCTTCTTTGTCTTTTAATGCCACTAGGACCAGCTTCTAGAGTCACTGGACCCCTGTCGCACAACAAATCTGTCCATAGAGGTCTGTTTCTGGCGTCTCTTTAAGATTTCCCTGAAGTGGGACAGGGTTTTGTCACTGAACATGTTGCAGATATGGCATGTTTCAGCTTGGTTAGGGTGGTGTTTCTCCACAAAAGCTTGCACCCTAGTTCACATTGCACACACCTCTTTAATCTCTGAAGAAGGCACCTCCTTCACTCTCTCTTCCTCCTCTGAAGCAAGTTCCTCAGCTATTGCTGTTCGAGTTGAAGTTCTTGCAGCTCTTCAGTGTTAGCTCTTCCCTGTGGTCGTCCACCAACTCTTCCACATCCTCGCACTCACCTCCAACCCCAGGGACTTCCCCGGTGCCACAATAGAGTCTGTAGGGTCGGCAGGGTCAGGGTCAGCTTCAAACCCTTCAAAATCCCTCTCTTGGACACAACCTGGCCCAATTTTCTCCAAGCAGAGTTCAAAGTCCTGGAAGTCACTCTCTCTCCCAAGCACTTTTGAAACACTGCTATTGTGTAGAGTTTTTTGAAGTTAGAAATGACCTGCTGGTCCATGGGCTGGAGGAGAGGAGTGGTGTTAGGAGGCAAGGACTTCACTGTGATGAAATTGAAGTCCCTAAACACTTGGTCTTCCAGTCTGGAGGATGTGCAGGCAATTTCTTTTCCAGGAGGTATTTTTTTCACACTTGGGCCAGACATATCATTCACCCACTCTCTGAAAATTTGCTTTGTAACCCATGCCTTTTGATTAGCTTTCCACATCACACACAGTCTATTCTTGACGACATTGCTTTTCTTGATACACTCTGGGATTTTCTTCACTCTAAAGTCTCCACTAGCACTAACACACTAGCACTAGTACACTAGCATTAGCTTCTCTTTCATAGGCTTGTGTCTGGCAGTGCCTTTTCCTCCTGCATGATGTAGATCCTGTTGGGCATTTTCTTCCAAAACAGGCCTGTTTTGTCACAATTGAACACTTGTTGGGGTTCGAATCCTCCAGCCTTTACATAATCTTTGAACTCCCGTACGTACTTTTCAGTCGCTTTTTTGTCAGAACTTGCAGCCTCTCCATGCCTTACAACAGTGTGTATACCACTACGCTTCTTAAATACCTCAAACCACCCTTTGCTGGCTCTAAATTCACTTGTTCCAGGAGTTTTCTGTAGAAGATCCTCATGTAACTGCCTGCCTTCTCACAAATAACAGATTCCACAACACTGTCTCCTACTAATTATTTTTCCTTAATCCACAATAACAACAACTCTTCCATCTCTTCCATTATTGGTGACCTTTGTTTCGTTATAAAAGTTACTCCTTTCGCAACATTAGAATCCTTGATTTGTTCTTTCTTTGCCAGGATGGATGTAATGGTAGATTAGTTTTTCCTGTATATCCTGGCAAGTTCCAGCACCTGCATACCCCTCTCATATTTATCAACCACTTCACGATTAAATTCCATGGTGTTTCTAACTTTCTTTACCATAGGAACATTACTAGGAACTTTCTTTGGAGCCATGGTTACTTATTTCACAGTTGCACTGTAAAAAACCCCCAAAAACAATGGAAAACAAGCGAAATGTTTGGAAGTATGAGCAGAAGCTTCCTTACACACCGAGAGACAGCCAGACTGACGCGCAAGTGGCCCCAGCCGGTGGATGGATGCGTCCAAAAACGGCCAATCACCGAAATAACGGCTGATAGCCGGGAGCCGAAAAAAAACCGGCCAATGACCGAGTTGGAGGATAATGGGAACAGCCAATATCCGAGGGTTCAATGTACTGTGCTTGGCTGGTCATCTGGCTGTCTGGCTGATTGGCAGTCTCAATCTCCATCTGGCTGTATCTATCTCTGTCTGTCTCTTTCTCTGTACCTCTGTCTCTATCTCATAGGAAACTCATATGTAAATACAATCATACATAGTGTAAATTACCAAGGATAACCCAATAAATCCAGACATAGTGCTATACTGTGCTTGTAAATATCATGCATAATAATTATGACTGGCAACTGCAGAATCATTTGATAGAAATGATTTTGATTGGTTTCATGACCAGGAGTAGCTTGAAATTGAGCTCAAAGTGGCAGAAATATTTGATTTTTTCTGATATTCCTGAGGATGGGTAAGCCCCCCTACACCCCCAACCCCAGTCTGAGTTTTTAATAGGTCTGATTCAGTTGTTGGGACACTGTAAACCATGACCAATCGTTCCCGGTTTATTTATTTATTTATTTTGAAATTTTAGCATACAAACAGAGGTACAAAAAATACAGGCAAGAGCAGCATGCCAAAGCCACTTATATGCATAGCATTACGGGCTGGGCTTAAAATTAACTTAAGATTAACTAAGCAATGATGAAATCAGTGATAAGACATTATT